CAGGTCAAGAGTATGTGCTCCACAGGTGGGGCTTTTGCTGCTCTCCAAATGGACGGAAGCATCATCGCATGGGGCAGTCCAAAGTGTGGTGGTGACAGCTCAAACGTGCAGGAGCAGCTTCGAAATGTCGAAGAGGTGTGTGGGACAGATCGGGCGTTCGCTACTCTTCTTACCGACGGACGTGTGGTAACTTGGGGCGATCCAGAGTGGGGAGGGGACAGCAGACATGTCCAGGAACAGCTCGTACATGTGCAACAGCTGAAAGCAACACTCGGAGCTTTCGCTGCTCTCACAGCAGATGGTGCGCTCGTGGCTTGGGGCAAGCCCCATTATGGAGGCGACTGCACTGCGATAGAAGACGAAGTCAAGAAGCTCTGACACGCCAAGCGACAGACAGCTCCAATCCGAGAGCCTTCAGCTGTAGCACCGTGGCTATCTGATTCTAAGCTTGCGATGCTGATTTATTTGCAAGACCAGGCACGCGGACTTTGCCTGATGCCAAGCCGGCACAAATTCTGAGACAAACGCAGTGTCGATGGCAGGAAGAGTCAGGAATGTCGCGTAGAAACATGTTTCCATGGGCGTTAGGAATCCCGCAAGGGGACCATGAGAATTAAACCCTAAACCCTAAACACTAAACCCTAAACCCTAAACCCTAAAGTCCTGCTCGAAGCCTGAACGGCCCATCCTGACCCTTAAAACCGGAATGCCCTCCTGAGCTCTTAGAGCCTCAAGCCTATTCAACCCCCCCCCCCCCCCCCCAAAAAAAGACCCTAAATCCTAAACCCTCCCCGAAACACCCCTAATTAATGTTCTAAACCCTAAGCCCCTAAACCCCGAAACCCCGAAATCCCGAAACCCCTAAACCCCTTAACTCCTAAACCAAACCCTTACCCTCCTAAACCAGTAAACCCTCAACCCCCTAAAACCCCCCAAACCCTGAACCCCCTAAACCCCTAAACCCTGAACTTCTCGCGCCTGGCAAAGGCGGCTACTGGGCTTCGAGCGATCGAGCCTGGTCCTGAAGGCTGCGGCCCGGGCCCCGAGAGGGCACCGAGGGCATCCAGCGGCTTTTAAGGGGCTTTTGTGGGCCTTTTCAGGGCTTTTAAGGGCCTTTGAGGGCTGTAAGGGCTTTTCAAGGGTTAAGGTGTTAGGGCTATAGAGCCGACATGCAGAGTCTGGGTTCAAAAAGGGCTGTAGAGGTTTTGGGGCATGCCAGTCCATCACTAGAAAACTACGGAACCCTCAACCTCTGGGATGCCCAAGTTGCTAAAATGCTTCCGAGCACCCGCGGAAGATGCCCCAACTCAGCTTAGGCCTTCATTGGGGAGGGTGGGGGGGGGGGGGAGAAGTCTTATCGGGCTTACTAGGGATTTTGGGGGGGTTGAGTTGGGCACTCGCTTCGGCCTTAGGACTTGGGACTTGTGAATATGCATGCCGAAAGAAGAGGTGCGAGAAAGCCCCAAAAGGCCGAGCGTGCAGGCCTTCATGGGTGGAGAGCTGGAGGACGCCTTCTTGGAGGTGCATGGTCCGGGGGGAGGGGGGGGTAGGGGAGGCTTTGCCGGCCCAAAGGCTCATTGAAATATGGGGGGGTTCCTAGAAGAGGGGTACTACCCCGTTTACCCCCAAATATAGTAGAACCCCATTTCAAAACGGCCCCCTGAAAAGGTACCCTGATTATCAAAACCCTCAGATGCTGTTTCTGCCGCTGTGCTTTTGTGCTGCTGCTGATCATGTATGCCAGAAATAGTGCGATGAGGTTGGACCGTTCTGGCACTTTCTTTTGTCAAAGGCCTTTCGATCGTATGCAACAGCTCCTGCGACTTGGCCTGTGATGGCTACAAATGCCGGTCTCGTATTCTAATACAACTGCGGTTGAGGAACGATACTTCGTGCCGCAGATACCAGTTCTGGCTCAGCTGCACCGCCAGTCGCCAGTGCCCTTCGGATCCTGCTCAACTCATGACGAAACTGGGGTGGATTTAGAGTAAATTTTTACTTTCTAAATTTCCATGGGTCCGAATCCCTATATACCCTTAGTGGCCCATAGAAATTTGAATTTTTATAGGGCCCCCAAATCCCCCCTAGCTCCCACCCCCCCCCCCCCCCTACCTCCCACCCACCCCCCCCCAGGAAATTCGAGCAAATCCGGGCGGCGCACAATGCGACGAAGGCAAAGCAGGGAGCTCAGGCAGATCTACTTTGCCTCAGTAGGGTTTAGGGTTTAGGGTCCGAGAGTCGTCTTAGAGACAGAACAGTTGAGACATTCTGCAGGGCAGGGCCCATGTATGGGCCAGTCAGGGTAGGATCCCCACAACCGAAGAGTGGAGGGCGGATGACTTCGGGAACCCAGAACCTCTAAACCCCAAACCCGAAGCCCTCAACCTAAACCCGAAACCCTAAACCCTAAACCCCCCAACCTCGACTGAGGTGGCAGCGGGCACGCGAACTGGCAGCACAGCACCTGGAAGAGCGAAAGCAGCGGGAGATGGAGTGGCCCAGCCAGCAGCCCCATACCCTAATCTCTATAGCACCCTTAGCATTTGTTTTGCGGTTCTTATTGTTTTTTCAAACCCAAGGTCTAAGGGGAGTATCGATCTGGCCTTGAGGAGGAGTTTGGGGTTTAGTGGATGCTGCGGTGGGCAGATCGATCGTGGCCCAGCTCCCACAACTAGGCAGTTTCGTTTCTTCACGGATGAACTTCATTTCATGAAGCGAATCTGCTCCAATAGGCAGCAGAGGTGTGAAGAAAACAGGTGGTCTGAACTCTGATCCATGGCATCTACCCGCGAAGAGGGCGCAAGGCGTGCACCTTGCTACTCTCGAGGATGCAGAGGCAACAAAATCACAAGGGTGATGATTCACCCTAAACCCTAAACCCTAAACCTTAAACCCTAAACCCTAAACCCTAAACCCTAAACCCTAAACCCTAAACCCTAAACCCTAAACCCTTCACCAGCTCTCTCCCGTTGCATAGGAAGTCATCCACAAATTTAGTTCGGTCATGGTGTGCAGCATCGCTGGAGCCTCCTTATCAGTCCGGGCGTGAGAGTCGAAAGCACCGACCCCCAACCCCCGCCCCCAAACTTCGAAGCACAGGAGTTTGGTGGCCACCGGGGGCTCTTGTTTAGGGTTTTAGGGTTTTAGGGTTTAGGGTTTTAGGGTTTAGGGTTTTAGGGTTTAGGGTTTAGGGTTTAGGGTATTGTTGTTACCTTCGAGACGTTAGGTACTGCTGCGGCCTCAAGGGCCTATGCCAGTGCCGTTCATTCCTGACGTGATTCGGGGCGTAGTCACGAGTACTAGGCCTTGGATCCCAGACACACCTTTGGCATTACACGAGTGCTCATGAAGGCTGCATGGACGGCTGTGAAGCCCGGCAGAGCTCGCGGGGTCAAAAAAGGGTTTAGGGTTTAGGGTAGGGCTCCTCTTGTTTAGGGAGGACGGCGGTCACTGCATGTTTGTTCGATGTTTCGAGTCTTGCGTGGCTTTTCCCGACTAAAAAAAGCGACAGACACCACACCGACTCGCCCAGGAGGGAGTCCAGTCGACGCAGCTCCAAGGCGTCGACGCTCGCTGAGGAGCAAGGGTTCAGGAGTGAAGGGTCTGGAGTTTAGGGTTTAGGGTTTAGGTTTAGAGCTTAGGGTTTAGAGTTGAGGGTTTGGGGTTTAGGGTTTTGGCATGCTGAGCCGCAATTGCTCGAAGGAGTTCTAGCAGCCCTTACTGGGGTTGCCTTGAGCATCATGTCTACTTTCTATGGGCCTTATCCATACATTCCTATTCTGGCCTATGGCGTTTCATGTTCTCCCTCGCCATGTCGGGAGCGGACGGAAGGCTCTTGTTGCGGCTAAGCTGCGCGGTTGAGGTTGTGCGGTTTGCCTTGCATACCGCATTCGAGCTAAACCCTAAACCCTAAACCCTAAACCCTAAACCCTAAACCCTAAACCCTAAACCCTAAACCCTAAACCCTAGTGGGTCCTTTTTCCCCTGTTCAGGCTCCCTTTTGAGCCCCTGTAACACCCTTTCAACAGGGTTTCGGGTTGTTAGGGTCTAGGGTCTAGGGCAATTAGGGTTTAGGGTTAATGGTTTAGGGGTTTAGGGCTAAGGCAAAGGGGTTTAGGGCTTAAAGAGCCCCACGAGAGGAGATCGCGGAGTTGAACCGGCGAACCCAGGACGGGTTGCGTGTCCAGGGTTTAGGGTTTAGGATTTAGGGTACAGGGTTTAGGGTACCCGAAAAGGGTTTATGGTCTATGTACCTGAGTTCGGATTAGAATGCATAGGGTACATAACCCCATCTATAGGGGCTCATCTGGTTTAAGGAGCCCCCGCACTCAACCCTGCAACCCTCAGCCAGAACTCCTTGTGCAAAGCATGGGCGTTACCCTAAACCCTAAATAACCCCAAACCCCACACCCTATTACGAATAAAAACCCTAAACCCTAAACCCTAAACCCTAAACCCTAAATGCACCCCCCTGAAGCCAAGCCGGCGACCCTCCGAAGACTCTTCGGAGTGTCCAGGAGCTCGCGGGAACGCAGAGCGCCGGCATGAAGGACGCTGTGAAGCGTAGCCCATCCCCTATAGGGTGGGGCCCCCTTACTATACTAACTGTAGTTAAGGGACTTATAACCTAACTTAGGGTCCTTCTAACCCAATTTAGGGCCCTTATAACTCTACTTGTAACTAGGGGGCCCCACCCTGTATACATGTTTCCCCCCCGAGAGGCTTTCGGGTTTGACCATAGGTTTCGGGTTTGGGGTTTAAGGGTTTAGGGTTTAGGGTTTAGGGTTTAGGGTTGTCAATAGTAGACTCTCCATCTCTTGAGCCAGGATCCTTCATTCCAACCATCAGAGGACCTTTCGGCTTGGAGAAAGGGCCGCCACGATGCCCGAGGTCGGGCACGATTGGCTTTGTAATTGGTAGCGGGGCCGTGGCTCCGACTACCTGGGTTGGTAGTGTTTCGTCCCTAGGCAGGGACCAGTGTTCAATAGTAGACTCCAGCAATGTCGGGCGCAGATGAGCGTTCACTCAAACGCTTCAATGGCGAAGAAGATGACCCGGGACGACAGCTGCGCAGATGGCGTGCATGGGCCGAAGCTAAGATGTACACCATGGACAAATTGACAAACAAGCAGCAAGGCCCCTTCTTGTACACCCTTCTCGACGGAAAAGCGTTAGAGGCCGTGGAGCACCTGGAGCTCAGCTCACTCCAGGTGGAGGATGGGGCCAGCAAGATCCTCGCCGTGCTCAAGGAGAGGTTTCCTGAAAAGGAGGCCCATGACCAGATGGGCGAGGCTCTTGGCGAAGTGTTCGGCTTGGCAGCTCGCGAGAACGAGACAGTTCAGCAGTGGACCGCTCGAGTGGCAGAGGTCTTCACGAAGTGTCATCGGAAAGCCGATGTCAAGTTTCCATCCCCTGCTCAGGGATGGATTGCTTTGAACTGTGCTGGCTTTAGCGAGGAGCAGAAGGCGATCATCAAAGCCAAGGCTCAGGGCAAGTTGGACCTTGAGTCTGTCACCTCGGCGATGAGATCCTGCTCCCCCCTCTACAAGGCCGGTTCCAAGGCCAAGCGGCCTACCACAGCGTTCCTCGCAGAGCCTTCCGAGATCGACGAGACGATTGAGGCGCCTGAAGACTTCGCAGATGTGGAGGCATTCCTTGCAGACCACCAGCTGGGAAGTGACCCAGATGAAAGCATCCCAGAGAACGAGGCTGCAGAAGCCCTTGCAGCCACATGGAAGGAACGTCGTGCTGAAATAGCCCGCTTCAAGAAAGATCGCAAGTTTGACTCTGCCCAGCACAGCAAGAAGTCATTCAGAGTTGAGATCGAAGAACTCAAGCGAAGGACACGCTGTCGGAAGTGTGGTCGAGTGGGCCACTGGGCCAGAGAGTGTCGCTCTGGAGGTGGAAAGGGCGGCTCCTCGTCTTCAGCAGCCAGCAGGCCGACGGCTTCGTCTACGACTGGCGTAGTGGAGGCGCAGCTGGTCGAGCAGGAGGTGTCCCTGGCGCAGTACGAAGTCGACCCCGCTGAGGAACCCTCCGATGTGATGTTCGTTGGAATGGCTCAGGTCGCCGCTCAGGCAGGAGTGCCTGTTCTGGCGGCGGGACTCGTGTCTTCACCGGGTTTCGGGGTTGTAGACTCCGGCTGTGGACGCACGCTCATCGGAAAGGACACGCTCCAGCAGCTCGAGGCAAAGATAGGCAGCATGATCGGCAAGACGCTTGAGACCTACCAGGCCACGAGTTCGTTCAGGTTCGGGAATGGCGCCACGGAGGTTTCAAGCATGGCCGTGAAGATACCTGTGGGCATCGGAGGGGTGCCTGGCATCATCGATGCGGCAGTCATCCAAGGTCGAGCTCCTCTTCTGTTGGGGCGTCCAACCTTAGAGAAGCTACAGGTCTCCTTGAACTTCGGCAACAAGACGATGCGGTTCCTGAACGCTCAGGAGGCCGTGCCCATGAAGGTCAATGATGCTGGCCAGCTTCTCATCGACATCCTCAGCTACCCCAGCCGCATGGTTGCTCATAAGCCTGTTCTTCCCGCTGCGGATTCAGTAGAGGCATCTGGGTGTAAGAATGATGTGGCTCAGGACGTCACGTGTGGCTTGCAGCCTTCACTGGAGGGACATGTACCACCACCGCCATCGCCTGAACCCTTAGGACCCTTAAGCCCTAAGACAAACAAGAACAAGAAACCCATGAAGAACAAACACTGTAAGTGCCTCCTAGCCCAGGTTAAAACCCTAGACGCCAAGCAATCCGCACAGGTTGCAGTGGCGGAGTTGTTCTCGCCCCCTCGCCTGACTGAACAGGCTCGCCAGCATGGAGCAACGGGGCTGGCATTTGACATTAAGCAGGGGTGTGATTTAGGATGTAGGAGCACGCAGAAGGAGGTAGACCAGTTGCTTGAAGAGGCCAGACCTGCCTTACTCACAGCATCTCCCCCATGCATTCATTGTGGTGACTGGGACAGTCTTCACATGATCCACAGGACGCCTTTGGAAAGAGCCCGCATGCTGATGGTGAGCCGTCAGCAGTTTCGCTTTTGTGCCCAGCAGATACAGCGCCAACTGGCGCGCGGCGGTCATTTTCTCCTTGAACATCCGGTGGGTTCTAGGATCTGGAAAGACCCCCTCATTAGACCCCTAGTTAATAAGTATGGTCTGGTTCGGGTTGATATGTGTGCCTACGGTCTCACCTGCCCTAGGTCCGGTTTGCCCATCAAAAGGGAGACCGCTCTGCTGTGTTCAAATCCGAACCTTGCTCAAGGAGCGAGGACCTGTCCCGGATGCCACAGGCATCAGCACATCCAGGGCCATGCAAGTTCGGGGGTGAGTAGGAGCGAGTTTTCAGGTAGGTATTGTTCAGGTTTCGTCGAAATGCTCTGGAGGCACGTGGGTTTCAATGCGTGTGAAAGCTTGGTTGTGCAGGGTGATCCCCTGGACTGGACTGCCTTGGAATGCGAATGCCTCGCAGGAAGCGTTTTCCAAAGAGCACCTGAGATCCCGAGACAACACGAAGCGCCTGCAGCAAATGAGCAACCTGAAGATCCCCAAGAACAGCAGCGACTCATAAAGATAGACCAAGCCCTCCTTAAGTTGCACACTAACTTAGGACATCCCTCAAATAAGGAGCTTGTTCGGGTTCTCAAGCACAGTGGTGCTTCAGATCGTGCGGTCCAGCGTGCTTCAAGCCTCTCCTGCAGCGTGTGTGCAAACCAGAGTCGGCCAACAGCACCACTCCCCGCTAACACCTCTAGTGCATCCCAGTTCAATGAAAAAGTAGGGCTAGACGTTAAGTACTTGCCAGGGTGGTTGTCAGGTCAAAAAATCCCATGCGTCAACATGGTTGACTTCGCCACCTCCCTTCAGGTTATGGTTCCATTGCATCGCACCGAAACTGGTGAAACCACTCGAGACGCTCTTCGCGATCGGTGGGTATCGTGGGCCGGCCCTCCTCAGACCCTGTGCTTAGACCCTTCTCAGCCCAACCTTTCACAGGTTTTAGGCGCGTTCTGCAACAACACCGGCATCGACATGCGACATACTGCCGCAGACGCCCACTGGCAACTAGGCAAAGTGGAGCGGCATGGCCAATGGTTGTGTCGGGTTTTCCAGCGCGTTCTGGATGAGAGCCGTCCCCAGTCAGAACCAGAGTGGCGTGATTGCCTGTCCCATGCTCAATCCGCTAAAAACACCCTCCTGACTGAAGCGGGCGCCAGTCCGTACCAGCTTGTTTTCGGGCGCAATCCGCGCGTTCCCACGGATCTTATGCAGGAGGCGCCTCACCTGGGTGCCGTCGATGCCGAACAGGCAGAACCAGCGCTAGAGCGCGCAGCTGCAGTGCGCGCCGCATCGCGCCGTGCCATGCTTGAGTGCCAAAGCGATCGCGCTGTTCGTGCCGCACTTCGTGCACGCCCGCGTGCGCTTCGTCCTTTTCGTTCGGGGGACTGGGTTTACTACTGGCGCACACAGAAGCATGTCGATGGGGTAAGAATAGAGGGGGGGAGATGGTACGGGGCAGGGCTAGTGCTGGGATCGGTCGGTCGCAACTTCGTTGTCGCACACAGGCGTAGTCTCTTGCGCTGCGCGCCTGAACAGCTTCGTTTTGCAACCCCATCTGAGGCCACAGTGGCAGAGTTTCCGGAGAGCGAGCTCCTAGGCGTTAAGACACTGCTTGAAAAGGGTCAATTCCCGAAAAGCCAATTTGTGGATGTCACTCAGGAGAGCCGCCCTCCAGAGGCCCCTGAAGAGGCTCAGGCCACGGTTGATGAGCCGTCACAAGGCCTTGCGGGTCTCAATGCAGCGCAGTGGCTGGAACAGCACAGGCAGACAGCAGCAGGGACCGAGAGCCCGAAAGCTCCAGAAGTGTCTTGCTCGGCCCCAGGGCCAACGCAGAACCCTACCCTACAACACTTCCTGAAGCCAGCCCAAAGGAAGAATCGTCATACGCCCCTGTCAGACGCATCGTCCGCAAAACTCCTGAGAGCAACCTCCGTCTCCGTAGATTGCCCGACTCTAATCCTGAAGACTTCGCTGAAATGATGTCTGAAATTGTTCCTCGCCTTATAGCCCAACTACCCCAAGAGGTCCCGGGAGCAAGCCCTAGTAGTAGCTCAGACGTACCGCAGACTGTGCAACCAGAGACCCCCAGAGCCAGTAGCCAGAAGCGGGCGGCCAGTAATGAGCCGACAGAGTCTCCTGAAGGTGTGAGGCCTCGAACTGTGTCCACAGAGGCTCTCTTTTGTCAAGAAACTCTGGACATGGAGCACTTGCATAGCAGCCATGTGGAGATTCTGATGGCTGCATTTCTGCAGAAGCGAGCTCAGAAAGAGCTCCCCGCCACCGGAAATACTCCGGACATGCAGCATCGCATCGACGAGGCAAAACTCGTTGAGTGGGAGACGGTGTCCGGCAAGGCAGCTGTAAGAGTGCACACGGGGGCTAAGGCCAGAGAAATCAAGGAGAAGTTCGGGCATAGGTTCATCGGCAGCCGGTTTGTAGTTACGAACAAGGTTGATGAAGAGGGATCTAGAGTAAAGGCGAGATGGTGCTTGCTTGGACACAACGATCCCGACTTCCATCAGAAGATTGCTTCGGGTGAGTGTCACAGCCCAACGATGCACCAGTTGTCGCGCGCCTGGCTGCTTCAAGTCCTTGTCTCCAAAGGCTGGACCCTAAACCTAGGCGATATAAAAGGCGCTTTCCTCGAAGCAGGTCCAATCCCTGAAAAATATCGTCCTCTATTCGCCGCGCAACCCCCTGGAGGGATTCCGGGCGTAGACCCCTCAGCTGTTATAGAAATAGTGGGGAACCTCTATGGCGCTAACGATGCGCCGGCCCAGTGGTACAAGGAGTTTGATGCTCAGGCGCAGGCCGCAGGGTTCCAGCGTAGCATCTTCGACCCATGTTTGTACTACTACCGAGAGCCTCAAAGAGGGCTAACGGGGATCCTAGGGGCACATGTGGATGATACCATAATGGGGGGCGAAGGGGAAGCGTACAACCGAGCCATTCAGAGGCTAAAGGCGAGGTTTCAATATCGTAAATGGAGACAGGGCAGTGGGGAATTTTGCGGAGTTCAATACTTCCAAGACCCTGAGTCTAAAGAGATCACTTATGATCAAAAAGCATACGCGCAGAACATAAGACCCATCGCCATGACAAAGGATCGACAGAAGCAGCGGAAACAGCTGGCGAATGAACGTGAGATCACGGCTCTCCGAGCAGTGAACGGTGCCCTCAACTGGCTTGCGTCCCAAACCCGTCCTGATATCAGCGTTCAGGCCTCCTTCTCACAGCAGGCGTTCCCCAGTCCTACTGTTGAGCACCTCCTGTCCGCCAATGAGGCGGTGCACCGAGCCCGTCAGTACAGTGACGTGGCGCTCACTGTTCGTCATGTGCCCTGGGAAGATCTCAATATAGTTTTCCATAGTGACGCTGGGTTTGCTAATGCTTCACAGGGTAAAACCCAAGCCGGGTACATCCTCGCGTTCACAACTAGTCAGTTGGCCGAAGATCAGCCCAGCGTGTGGTCACCCTTTTGCTGGAAATCATACAAGATGTCCCGAGTAGTGGCGTCCACGCTTGCTGGTGAGACGCAGAGTTTCGCTACTGCGAGTGGAATCTCTGAGTGGATGTCTCTCATGGTGTCAGAGGCTAAGCACGGGTGTTTCGACCTTAGGGCCTGTGAAGATCACCTTAGATGTGTGCCCATCACAGGGGTGACAGACTGCAAGTCCTTGTTTGATGCACTCAACACTCCGACATCACCAGGCAAGATTGAAGACAAACGCGTCGCCATTGACCTGGCAATCGTTCGCCAGTCCATGTCTCGTTGTGGTTTGCAGGTCAGGTGGTGTCCCACTCAGCTTATGATTGCAGACGGGCTCACCAAGAACCAAGCAGATCCCGCTGACCTCATGCGCGCATTGCTAGCTAACGGGGTTTATCAGCTGTCTAACGAGGCCGAGGTGTTGGCACAGAAGAAGGCGCAACGAGACAGGCGTGTCCAGAGAAAGCCTTTAGGGAGCACGAACAGCCCGAGCTATGAGCAGAGCCAAACTCCAGGCGCAGTCTTTCGAGAGGTGTACCTAGATCACGAAGCTACTTCATATCATTCCCCTGAAGAAGAACACATCGTTCAAGGCAAGGCTGTTCGTCGCACCTCTTTCGACGCACGCAGCGGGAAAGTTCTCGCGTCAGAGGACCTCCAGGAGTCCTTACTGTGCGAAAAGCAGTGGCTATCCAGCCGTGTGTCCTTGCTTCGAACAGAGATCTGGTATGAAAGGGTGGTTCCGGGATCTAGGGTTTAGACTAGTCACGGGGACTAGTGGTGGGGTAGTCCGCTTGCGTGGAGGGACCACGCCAAGCAATGCGCACGCATCACTGTCAAGAGCAAGCGATGCTGCCACAATCCCCAGTGTCTGCCTCAAGGTAACGCTGGCCGCGTAATCCTTTTTTCTCTTAAAGCAGCAATCCTTTTGTTTTGTTTTGTGTAGTCGAACATCAGCAACCCTTTTCGTGCACCTTGGACCGCATGGCGCCCAAGCAGAAGACCAGCTCACCCTCCTCGTCATCGGTGTCTCCAGCTGAGCTTCGGCATCTTGTGGAGCGCCTTCAGGCGGAAGGGCGTGGAGATGATGTGCTGAACGTGCTCCAGCAGGCCTTCGGTACGACCCAAGCCTTGAGCTCCAACCAGGAAATGATGCATGGCATGACGGATGCCCCGAAGAGGCGTCTCAGTGACCAGGACGTGGAGGACTACGGCTTTGAGCACGTGCGTGAGCCCTCAGACCAGGCTCCGCTACATCCTGCGCCAACAGTGGCAACCACGGTGAACCTCCCCACAGGCGTGACCAGCCTGGAACAGTGGAGCACCACGCTCTGCACATTACCAAAGGTGGCAAGTCTTCAGCTGAGCTACGCTGAACTTGTGGAGCGGGCCAAGAACGACGCCAGCGTCCGCAGCTACATTGATGGCTTCGTTGTGCCCTTCAACGGCAGCTCCGCGAAAGTAAAGGATCTGCAGAGGTACCTCAAGACCTCCGGCTACCAGGTGCCTGTGACCTACTACGAAGGAAGCAAAGATCCTCGAGTCTTCAAGCAGTGAGCTCAAGCAGCTGTCATCTTACTGTCTGCCCATGCCGAATGGCCAAGGCATTGACGACATTGAAACGCACATATCAAGATTTCACTCTTGGATTTGAACCGAAGAGAGAGGAGTGTCAATAGTAGACTCTCCATCTCTTGAGCCAGGATCCTTCATTCCAACCATCAGAGGACCTTTCGGCTTGGAGAAAGGGCCGCCACGATGCCCGAGGTCGGGCACGATTGGCTTTGTAAGGGTTTAGGGTTTAGGGTTTAGGGCCTCGGGGCATATGGGCTCTTGACACGTCGTGTGAGAATGGTTCGGGGGTTTGAGGCTTCGGTTTTGGAGGGAGAAAGCCAGTTCGGCCTGGGTGAGTTCAGGTATTGTTGGTGCACGGCGGTCCCTCCCTTTGGGGTATTTAGGGCTTCGGGATGTTTGGGATTGTTTGTTGGGTTCATCGGGCTTTTGCTGAGGTGCTCGAAGTTATGGGAGTTCAGGACAATTTGAGGAGCTAAAAGTTTACGGGTTTCGGATGTTTTGTAGCAGGTACTGATAAGTACTGTCCCGCTCCTTAAGCAATAAGGCCTTCCCCTCCGGCTGAACGCGTGTGGCGCCTTCAGAATGGGGACCCTAAACCGGCAACCACTCGAGTCGACGCCACATGCACCCTTAGACCACCCTAAACTCTCAACCTGGGATGTTCCCCGTACATTGGCGGTCACAGGGTCGATTATAGTCCCTCTCAAGGACTGTTAGTATAAGGGGAACATCCCAGCCCTCCCAACCCTAAATCCTGCGTGGGGAAAAAGCAAACCTAAACCCGATTTTCATCGGGACTGTTAGCATAAGGGGGAACATCCCAGCCCTATCTCCTAAGCCCTAAACCCTAAACCCTGAACCCTAAACCCTAAACCCTAAGCCCGACTCAACCCTCAAACTTATCTTGGCCCTGCAGGAGTTCGCCCCACGGCCCCGTCTGCAGTCCAAGGACCCGAGCTCAAGTAGGTATATACAGTTTAAGGTTTAGGGTTTAGGGTCTAGTTAGGGTTTAGGGCTTTAGGGTTTAGGAACAAGCTCTTTGAAAAGGGTTTTAGGGTTCATTATGTTTCCTGCCCTGAACTGCTTGCGTCGGGTCCCGGGCAACGGCCAAGCCTGCAGGTCCGACCAGGCACAGAGGTCTTTCCGAAAGTTCGTGCCAATGCCAGACCCTAACCCTAAACCCTAAACCCTAAACCCTAAACCCTAAACCCTAAACCCTAAACCCTAAACCCTAAACCCTAAACCGGATCTCCTCCTCCCTCGATGCTAGACTCTCACTTGTTTGAAGTTGTGCCGCGGGTCCTCTCGTCGAGCTGCCCTTTCAGGGGTCTTAGCTCTGCTGGTTTTGTGAAATGATGAGATGACCTGACTCTCCAGACTGAAGGGTCTACTTGTGTTGTGTCCCCAGCCCTAAACCCTAAACCCTAAACCCTAAACCCCAAACCCTAAACCCGGGAAGTTTTAGGGTTTAGTCTTCGGCTTTGCTGCGCCGAGGGCTGGACACGCGACTGTCATGCGAAGTTTGGCATCCTGTCGTCCTGCCGAGTGAGAAAGCACCCACATGAACCTTCAAGTACTACTGGACTATATCCCCCTTGGGGGCATTATTTTGTATTTTTGTTTATATAAAACCCAAGAGGAAATTAGAAACATTGTTTGAATTAAGGATTTATAAGGGGAGTATGGTGGAGGAGTCCATTACGACTGCGGCATCTTCGCGGTACGGATCCAAGGACAGGGGTTTAGGGTTTAGGGTTTAGGGTTTAGGGGGTTTAGGGTTTAGGGTTTAGGGTTTAGGGTTTAGGGTTTAGGGTTTAGGGTTTAGGGTTTAGGGTTTAGGGTTTAGGGTTTGGGGGGCATAGGCTCTCCTACCTCAAATGACCAAAACCTTATTTTTTGTGGGCTTCGGGTTTAGGCTTTAGGGTTTAGGGCTTCCTTTTTGAGACCCCTATCTTGCATGGCACCCAGAAGGAGCCGTAATTCAGGGAACTACCCTTGTAGGTTGCCCTATGAATCCTTCATTTTATGCGGAATTTGAAAACAAGAGCCGGCCAAAAACATGAGTTTTATGGCTCTTAAGATGGCTTGTGGTCCAATTTGGCAGGGTGATATCTCAGCTCGACCAGCAGAACACCAGCAGACGAAGCACCAACATTCTCTCCAGGCACCAGCGTTCGAATTCTTACCCTTGCACCTAGCCCAAGAACTTGTAGCCCTACGCCCTAAATCCTAAACCCGAAAACCTTAGGGCATCGGTCCAATTAAGCCTTGCCGAAGGAGGCCCCTTGCCGCACTCCACAGGCCAACCGCAGGGTTAGGCTTCTACTCAGCACCGCAGGAGACAGGCAAGCCTACAGGCTCTGAACCCTAAACCCAAACACTAAACCCTAAACTCTAGTGTGAGAGTCGAAACCCTACTAGACCCTAAACTTAAACTCCTTGAGATCCAATAGGTGCCCCTACATTTCAAGAAATGCGGTCCAAATTGGAGGGGGGAAGGGTTTTTGAGGTGTGTACAGCAACGCGTCTTTGGTGTTCAACTCAGGATTCAGAATGAAGCCGTGTGATATGTTTCAGGATGAGGTCCGCGCAAAGGGAATGTGCAAGTTGCATCCGAGCATCCCCTATGGGAGCCTACTGTATAGGCTGGAGGGGTTCAGAAATTCAAAGCCATGTCATCTGGCAGCATCCCAGTCCCAGTCGCCCGATTGGCACCTTGAACAAGGGGGAAATACGAAGACCGAGCCCAAAATGAAGGCTCAATGAAAGGCACGCGCTCCTTTTGCAATATTTCCACAATGTCGGCCAAGGGCCCACCATGGTGGTCATCGATTAGATAGGTTTGGGCAACCCGGCTAGCCAAGGGCCGAAGGTTCAGCAGAAAGCCGACAGCCGAGGCCTAAGCCCTCAACTCTCAAGCACTTCATCCCACAGCCTGGAATCCGAAATCCCTCGGGAACCTCGGACCCTAAGCCCTAAACCTTTTAAACCCTGAACCCTAAACCCTAAACCCCCTGAACCAATGCAGGGCGGCAGTCCGATTTTGGAGGAAGAGACCGAAGACCCACGTCGTTTCCTGCTCCTCGGAGTGATCAGGGGGGCACCGGTCGGTTGAAGCTCGGTTCGGGTACCAGAGACAGCTCTAACAAAAACCGTGGGTATATTCTTCAGGGTGTAGGGTGTAGGGTTTAGGGTTTGGGGTTTAGGGTTTAGGGTTTAGGGTTAAATTCTTCATGCCTGCATGTTCTTCAAACCCCTCCCTTGCTAAGGGCCACTGGCACTGGAATGCTACCCATAGCCATTTTGGCTTAAGCTTTTTCCGGCCCCCCGGGCCTACCAGAACAACACCAAGAGGTCCCCTAACAGGCTCGCTTCTTGCTCCAAGATGGCTCGTCGCAGCTTCGCCTCCCTTGCCCTCCTCGCCACGGTTGCCGTCCTGGCGCTGCGCTGGGGTGCGGTCGCCTTCCTGCCCGCCAGCAAGCCCATGCTCCGGGCTGGAGCCGCGGCCTCCGCGGGCGCCCTCGCGGCCAGCGGGGCGCTGCCTGCCCTGGCGGAGGAGGAGGGCGGGCTTCTGAACTTCGGCAAGATCGAGCTCGGGGGCGGCTTCGGGCTGAACCTCAACATCCCGGAGATCAACCTGATCCTCGGGGGCTGGGTACTTAACCTTTTAACTTTCTTTGGTAAACTATGTAATTTATATGTATATATATAGCTTTTTGTGGTAAATTATGTAAGTAGTATATATATATATATATGTACGAGGAACCTTCCTGTATTATGTGACCATGCGTCTTTTCTGAACTTTCAAACGGGGGTTCGAATAGTTTGAATGGTTTGGGGGCCCGGCCTGGGGTCCCCAAACTATGCGAACTATTCGAACTATTCTAAACTATTCGAACTATTCGAACCAGAGGGGTTCGAATAGTTCGAATAGTTTGGGGGCATGGCCTGGTGCCCCAAACTATTCGAACTATTCGAACCAGATGGGTTCGAATAGTTTGGGGGCCCGGCCTGGGGCCCCCAAACTATTCGAACTATTCGAACTATTCGAAACTATTCGAACTATTCGAACCAGAGGGGTTCGAATAGTTCGAACAGTTTGGGGGCCCGGCCTGGTGCCCTAAACTATTCGAACTATTCGAAACTATTCGAACTATTCGAACCAGGGGGGTTCGAATAGTTCGA